TCGCAGCGACAATGCCAAGCATAGGGGTAAATTTAACGGGATTAAGATAATGCATCACAATGCACGAATGTTTATTTATCTATTTAGCAAAAAAAATCAGTCGAATGAGACTAGAAAATGTATGTGCGAACATGTTTTAGTTAAGAATAAAGGGTGTATGTAAACTTTATTGGTCCACTGTATGTATACATTACTTCTTAATAATATAATTGCGTTATGAGCAGCAAGGAAAGTGAACTATGCCAGCTAGCTGAATAGTGGTAAAAACCTACAGATGAAGTGCCAAAAATATCATACAAATGGCAAATCAAATGAATACACCAAAACAAATTTATTGGGCAGCGAAACATGCAGGAACGTGCACAAATGTCTTTCATTTATATATCATTTGTTGCATTTTGACATTTAATGTTCACATTTATTTTTGTTTGTGTCGAATTTGTTGTTACTTTTATTTTATTTGATTCTATGCTTTTTTTGCCATTACTGTTGCTAATGCTCTTATGTTCGTACACTTGTTTGCATTGTATTTACTGGGCCTGCTAGCGGAAACGTTCACACTTGAGCTATTTGCTCACAAAGCGATATGTCACCTACGGCCAATCCGCCAGTTTTTTCTAGCATAACGATGCACGTATACATCCATACATACTTACATATCCATATACGAGTGTACTTTTGGGTTTATTTACTTTCTTTGCTTTCTCGTTGGTTTTCATTGATGGTGCTGCCACCTGTGACGTCGGCAACTTATATTCTTGCTCTTAGTTTTTATTTTCGCTATATACAATATATTATATGTGAGTTCTAATATACATACATACATACATATGTGCATATTTATATACATTCGTATTTTGTGAAGGTTTAGCCGATTTGACAGGGGCACTTACAGTGCCGGTGTCTGGATTGCCGTGTGTGTTTGCAAGTTTTTTATTTTAATAGCTTTTTGTTATAGTTAAATTTGCCAGCTTTCTGTTATATTATATTATTCAATATGGAAAATTCTAAATAACTTGAAAATATACATTTTTTTTTCACATTTTATATGATAAAATCCATATGTTTAATAACTTTAGTTACCTTTTAATCTTCAGTTCATTTTCTTGTAAAACATTTGAGCTTCCATAAATTGAACTCTTGAATTCGCAATAGAATTTAAATGTCATACAAGTTTTCTTTCATAAATTGAATATTTACATTGGCCCGTGATTCACTAAGTCGTATTTTTGGGGTAATCCCACTTTGCAAACAGGTGTTGGCGTAGAAGTCGCCACACTTATACATACATATATCCCTTCAAATGTTACTTCTACAGATAATATTGAGTTGGACAATGTGAACTGCTCAGCCGGATTTATAGCAAATTGTGGTACCGAATATTTCTGACCCAACGAATATTTGGCGCTAGATCATTGAAAATGATGTACCCGAAAAATTTGTAATTTCAAATTCCTATTTAAATACGAATCAAATTACATCTTACGTTCACCACAAATCACTAAACAGATAAAAATCTCTTTTCATTGAATCTGCTTGTTTGTTTCAGAGAGAATGTATTTCAGCCAACATTTACAGAAAACATGTGTTATGTGCGTGAGCAACAAACTTTAGCGAAGTAAATAAATAAAACTGTTTATAAATTTCAAAATATTTATTTCTTAGTCAAAACTTTTATAACTCGAAGTTTTCTTTTGCATTATGGTGGTTCGAGTTAGAGAAGTTCAACTGCATTTTAAATATTTATTGTTGACATTGACTCTGACAGCTACAACAATTATGAACGCACTTGTAAAACAGCCTAAAGTGCATATATAACTACATATTGCACCGCATTTGACATTTTCCTGCAACCCACATCAAAAGACGTCCGTGCTCAACCTAAACCGTCAAAACTTAAAAGTTTACGACATGTATTACATTCATATTTATGCTTTATGGCACTTGTGTAAGTTAATAAGAAGCTCGCCAGCCGATTTTGTGGGACTTATGTGAAAATATGTATGTATGTACATATACTATCTACAGAATTTGTCACTCGGCAATCAAAGCTGTCCAGTTGGACGAGCACTTGTGTGCATAATGTATGTATGTAGCCAAGTGTGTATGATTTTTATGTTTTGACTCAGCTGTTTCACTTTATAGGTCGTACTCGTGTTCTGCCTTGAACAAACACAGTCTGCTGATATTACTGCTTTGTTTTTTGCAACGACACCTTCAACATCAACTATTCTGATGGAAATGCATTTTAGACTTTGCATTACAAAAACGAACGCTTTAATTATTTT